TTACTTGCATACGCCTGTTACTCCCAGTGGAGCATAGGCCGCCGATCAGCATTCTCCAAACCACTTTGTCCTGGGCCTTCCTTTCTAATTCTATCCAATTATCGTTCATTCTTCTAATGTTTACCTCCATTTCTCGGAGTAATGTGCTCTTTGGTCTTTCTCTTCCACTTTGACCTTGAGGATTCCAAGTGAGGGCCTGCTTTATGACGTAGTCGGATTATTTATTAATATCTCAAATCTTAGTAGTGGTCGAATTCGTATTTACTAAAATCAGTAGTCTTTTACATTAATTAATTAATAACTTACTTTATGAACAGAAATTTACAGAATCATAAAATTAGACAGTAAAAACCAATGAGCATAACTAATTTTCAATATTATGAAACTACTCCTTCTTAAGTTGTGATTACATAATACAAATGATTGGGGGAAATCAATATCATAGGCCGTGTACACTTCAAACAATTAAGTTCTAGCTCATTATATCATATTCTTAATCATAATTCATTATGTTTTATTTACACATTAAAATCATCTAGTTGGGTTGTTGTTTCCCAACCTCCATTAGTTTGCTTAATATCATCATCATCGTAGAGTATATTTAATCTTTGTGAATAAAGACAGAATAGCATAGTTAAATTATGAAGTGCAAAGGGGTGTTCACTGAAACAAGATCAGTTAAATTCCATATAAAAGTCAAAAATGTATTGATTTCATTGTGAGCATAATGAGATTCAAGAATGGAGTCATACAAAAATAAAGTGTTGTATTAAGGTCATTTTTATAAAAACTGAAATATGATAAGCAATTTTGACCTTATAAAAAAATTGTGTGCAATATTTGTATTTAGCTAATTAAGATATGATTGTTTGTCATAGACGGTTGAAAGGAATCATTTTCATTTGCACTTCATTAGGATATTGCTTACCATAAAGTTTCCTATTCGAACTCCTCCCAACTGATACTTTGGCTTGGACAGTCGAATTGTATCTCTGACCCCCTTAGAAAATGTGTATCTGTGGGTTGTTTATGATAGATTGGGATAATCATAAATCACTAAATGACAAGTTCACATGATTGGTAAGGAAATAGCTTTCATATGCAAAGGATTATTAATAAACCCATGACAAGCTAGATTTCTTAAGATAATTATATACATATATATAAAAATGAGTACACAATTATATGATTCAGTTAAATCAAGTAAATTTCCTTTCTTATATTTTGTATCTTCTCTCTCGTAGCAGTCCTTCTGTATAGAAGTGGTGTGTATCAGTATTAACTCTGGGATATTGTACATCAAAGCAATGTAATCCTAATTGTACATGATGAGTAAGCTGATAAAGTTTCCATGAAATCCTAATAGTCTTCAATTCATTAAATATAATGTTTTCACAATTTTGACATTTAATACTGTTACACATCAGAACGAAATGACAAGAACCCATTTTTCATGTTCACAATTACTTAAGTTATACAAAAAAGCCTAGAATGATTAAAAGTAACTACTCAAGACATACTTCTCAAAAATTACGTTAAATGAATCAAGTAAAAGCACTTCCATCATAAATTACGTACAAAATGTCCATGTAGACATAACCCACATTTTCTATCAGAATACTATGTAGAATAAAGTTAAATCATCGAAAAGAAAGTCACTAATGTCAAGATTATATTGCTTTTTAAATGATAAGTGAAGAATTGTCTTATTCTAACACTGATCCGCCAGGATAACATTCAATTAGTATCTGTCTATCTATTAGTTTATTCCGTTTATAATTTCTCGATATACTAATTTCTTTTTTATTATGGTTTTATCAGTGCACGATATTCATTTAAGAAAGATTTTGTAAATCAAATTGTATATTACAGCAGTTTGAAGATCCCTATACAATACTAAAACTCAAAGAATATTTAAACGAACAATTGGTTACAATTACTTCATCATCAATCTCTACAGTTATAACTTCATAATTATTGTTATTTTTTACAAAGGAATAGCAATAAAGACACCACTCCGCTGATTCTCGCTTATCTTTTTTTCTAGCCAAACTGGAAAATGGACCGTTGATCGGCATCCTAAATAAGCTAGATTATTACTGTCCATACATTAGATGATACACTAATAGTGTGTGACGAAACTATCGACAAACAATAGTTGTTGAACGGTCACAATAACGTTCATCCAGTTATTAATTTCACCAGCAAAGAAAAGAACGGTAATATTATACTTTTCCCTGATGTCCTACTTTCTAGAAATGTAACGGTCTCACAAAAAGAAACGTATTTAGAGAGGAAAATATTTGGACGAGTCAGTATACAAATTCTCATATCTTTACACCACTTTAATGCAAAATAAACTCTGACACGGTTAAAAAACCCTCCTTGGAAATTCGATTTTAAAGGGGATATAGTGGGCGACATTTGGATACTTTGACTTAAAGAATCTGTTGAAAGGATATTTCACGTCCCCATGTTACATATATTTTTATTAACCAAACCAGTACTTACACAGCAAATCAGGGTTAGGTTACTGATAGCGGGCTCCTATGTGTTTGTACCAATTCAACTGATCTTGTGGAACTAGTTACATAGGCCGTACTCAGATATTATTATAATTGAGTGCTCGTGAATATGTATCAGTATGGTTGGTAAAAGGAGTTAATAAATCTATTAACAGCGCCACTCTTTCTCATTTGATCGATAGTGAACGTCATATTAAAATAGCTTTATCTGTTTTATATCAAGTTTCTAATAATCTGCTAAATGAGCTAGATCACGACACCCTTACATAACTGAGGCTATCTAGATCAACTCCAGAACTTATGTATCCAGCCTTTATATTTACCTAGGTCCACAAATGGATCACCAGATATTTTAAATGGATATTATAAACGATTTATCCCCCTCCCAATTCCTTGTACATTTATCGTTCTTAATATGCACATTCGTCTTTTCTAATTCACATGGATTTTCTTAAAATCATAATTACTTTAACAACACATCTCTTATTACATATTATATTCATACGTTATTATTATCATCTCGATTAACAAGACGAAATTCTCCGACCATGCACTTTATCAACACGATTCAATATCTCAACAGTTGAGATCATGAGTCAATTGAAGCTAGATCGCCATGCAAAACCTGGAAGCACTGAACGGCCGTTTCGTCCTATTGTGGGACTCCTCAGCAGTGCGCATCCACGCCCCCGCCTTGAGGGATTCGAACCCAGGACCTATCAGTCTCGTGCCAGGCGCTTAACCAACTAGACTACTGGCTTCAGGAGATATATCCTGGAGTTCTAGTGAGAAGCAGTGGCCAGTGGAGTTCAACCGGGTCAGTTGTAAGGTAGTAACTCACTGATCACAATGGTGGATGTGTGCTCAATTTCGTGAATTAAATGGAGTTGGATGCCGGCTCAGTGGTCTAGTTGGTTATGCGCCTGGCGCGAGACTGATAGGTCGAGTTCGAATCTCACGAAGTAAGATCGTGGATGCGCACTCCTGGGGAGTCCCACAATAGGACAAGACGGCCGTTTAGGTTTTCCATGGTGGTCCAGCTTCAACTGACTCATGATCTCAACTGTTGAAATTACTACAATCTCTACAAAACCCCCTTCTGATACGATATATTACCATTATATTGATTATAACGTGACACTTTACTACTAATCATTTTGACCTTTATTAAATGATCTTCCTTATTAACAAATAACACAATTCTGAAGTATTTATGTCATAACAGATAAAAAACGTTCATCGATTCTTAACACATAACATCATCAAATCCATTAATGCATGCCTTATTTTGATCTTAATAAAATATCACAATAATTATGGAGTTATAAATGTAGAGCTTAATGATAAAGTTATTGAAAGTAACTGTTCGCTCAAATAATCTTTGTTTTTGAATAATTGGTATATGTGGTTTATTTATGAATAAACTAATCTTATTATCCAGGGTTAGATAACAGTTATTATGAAATACTACCGATATTAATACTTCTTATAATACACATCTGACTAACAAGCTCTAATAGAAATATATAAAACTCAGATTAAAATTTTATTGATAATTTCTCTCACAATTGTTAAACATTGAAATTCCAATCAGTTAGCTTTATAAGAATTTCGCAAATTTAATTGACGGATTACGGTCATATGGATGTGGTTGGTTTCAACTGAACACACAGGTTGGAATAGCTAAATTTTCTTAGTAATTCTTGTTTCATGGTGTAGTTCGACTCTGAGTAACAAGTGGACCGAGCTCCTAACGTTTTCTTGTGAGTTTATTATTTCGAACTGTGAATGTACTTATGCAAAAAATAATACTGAAAACTATAATTTAATAAAACAAATACTCAGATTCTACATAAATAACCGTCTAATAAGTAGTTCTTTTCACGGCTCAGGAACAATTCAACACCAACAAACATACATGTCAATCCTTATTCACTATAAAATTCATATAGAAAACTCGTTTATGTTATGAATCATTGTAAAGTGAGATGGTTGAGAGATGCGTCACGTATGTTCGACAGTCGCCTAACTAGCTCATCAGATGATGTTAGCTAATATAGAATTTTGAAGAAGGATACAGATAACCAGACGTAGATGTGATATCAGTCTACCAAGTAGCTATTAACTGTCCTAAGTAATGTTGGTATATAAAGACTATTTGATAAGAATCAATGCAATAATAGCTATCAGAGGTAAGAGATCTTGAACGATAAAGAGTAGGATCGGTCAAAATAGAGTAGGTCTTGAATGCGAATAACCCCTCATATATTCCCTTTCCCTCTATCACATCTCAAACAATATTCTCAATATTCAATACTTCTCATTATTATTGCTATTATTTCATTTTGACTCCATCGCTATTCATTTTTTTCTGTTTATATCTTATATTAATATAGTCTGTGAACTTGAGCTAACGCAAGTTTGTACCAGACCCTAACATTCCAAATCATAATTACTAACTGACAATATTCAATTCAAAACATAATCTACTATAATTTACAAGAACAAAACAGTGTTATTTCCTTCTTCATAACAGTTTTAATCAACAACAAGAAAAAAGGTTAACCATTAAAGAAAACATTAAAAGATAAAAGAAAACGAAATGAAGGTAAAAAGCAGCAAACATAGAAATCAACAAAATAATGGAATAAACAACGAATCATGAAAAATATTTTTTTAAAAAGAATAAAAATCCCTAATTTCAACAAACAAAATAAAACAAATTGAACAATGAATAAGAAAACAAGCTGTTTTACAATATTTTTAAAAAAAATGGATTTTCTCAATGAATTTCATGGAGATTCAACCTTATTTCAACATTAATTATACGGGAACATTTTTCACCCGGTCGATTTGAATGTTGACAATGATGATTGATGATTTATCTCAACTTTATTGTTATCATCAATATCAAGTGAATTAGACTTGGAATTATGTGATAATGTTATCGATTGAGCATTATTATCATCATTATTATTATCACTAACATCATCATTCAAAACAACATTTAATTTAGATGACGACCGTTGAGAATTATTGACAGTTGATGTCTATGGGAATTGTGATCAGATGTTAAGAAAAAAAAGTGTGTTGAGAAATGGATTATCGGATAAAACGGTTGTTATCACTATCTATCGTTAAAAGATAAAGATAATATCAAAATCTGATTGATAACGTGACAGAATATCATTGGAAACTGTCACACTTATACACAGTTGATTCATGCAAATACATATCTACATGTATATTATTTACATGCTAAATCATAAATTGGACATGTTTATACCTGTCTTCAGTGTGTTATCTTTATACAAAAGAAACTGTAAGTATGGGATAATGGAGTTACATAGAAATAATGAACAGATCAATGCTAGGCCACCAGTGAAAACATGGAAAAACTGAACGGCCGTTTCCCACTTACATTCATCATGTGCTCACAAGTAAATAGCTTCAAGAGCAAGTTGTTGGAGTTTTGATGTAAAGCCATGATCAGTGAATTTCAAATGTGTCAGCTGCGACTGAAGCTACACATCAACATTGTTGGATGCCAGCTCAATGGTCCAGAGACTAAGCGTTCGCCCCAAAGTCCAGGCTATAGTTCCTGTGTACGTGGTCATGGATGCGCAACTTTGAAGAGTCCCATACAAGGACAAAACGGTCGTCCACAGTTTCCAGGTTTTCGATAGTGGTCTAACATTGATAAGTTCGTGATTTCAATGAGAATAACTTTAATGAGTAGTTTGGTTGAGACAAGGAGAATTTTCAAATACAGAAATCTGGGTAAAAGTATAGTATAGAAACGAACCAGTGAAAATCGAGAGTGCGACTTCTATGTTCATGGACGAAATTCAACTATCACGTATAACTAGAAATACAAATACCTTTCCATAATACTCAAAAAACTATATTTTGATATCAGCAGGAAAAGATGAAAATGTTAAATGTAATGAATCCTTGATTCTTCTTCTTCAGATTGTGCATGACAGGCAACTTGGCACAATCCTAAAATCATGACCCTGAGACGAACCGTAAATTGTTGGTACTCGATTTCATGAGCAAACTAATCAGACAGCGCTTCTTCGATTTTTGAAAAAAATTCATCAACCTTATATAGCATTTTTACACTTAAGCTGATGTCGATTCATGATGAAAAGGCAAGGTTTAAACGTTAGGTTCTTTCGAAATGTGCCCGCCCTTTCGTTTCAACGACCTTGAACGGCTTGACTAGAGGCGATCATTCCGTATTTCAATTGCCGTGGGTTGGTTGGATTGCATGAGTATCAAGTTTTTTCATATATAAGTCATCTTATGCTACATAAAAAAGCACGAAATAAATACCAAAACCATTAATTTAGCGTTCTCTGTTTTGTAGTGTATACTTTGGCTCTGTTGTTGCTTTGTAATTTGGTCTTTGATCCCAACAACTGTAGTAAAGCTCAACGAAATGTCAAGTCACAGGTAAATCCTAAATGTTTGTAGTATTTCCTTGGGTTATTATTGTTGCAAGGAATAACTTTTTAATAATTAGTCATGTCTGTTTTTAGTGCTTCATGCTCAAGTGACATTTCAGTCGACCTAACCGATGCCTTTCGAAGTATGATACTGAACAAGCGTTTCGTGTTGTGGGATGATTTTGAAAGCGCCGTAAAAGAGTTCCAAAAAGTATGGAATTATAATTTTATCGCTTCTCAGACTACTTATACTCGTTACATCCACACAGAAAGCAGATTGCTGAAGGATGTCAGGTTCAAATACCTGTTTGTATCGTTTAATTGTACGTTTGGTCATAAACGGAAATCGGAAGGTTTGAAAGTGAGGCAAAAATCGTAAGATCTTTAACTAATATCTTATGTTTAAGGTCTAAATTCCGTGTAAGACTAGAGGAGCAAGGATATGTCATCAAATCCTACAACATGCTCCACAATCATCCATGTAGTAGTTCATAGATGGTATGTGATCCATGGACAAGGAGATTATCGTCAGAAGAAAAAGAGAACTTGAAGCCCGTAATACTTCACTGTGAGTCAGCAGATGAAGTTATCGAAAGTATTAAGGAGAGAACTGGTAAGCAAGTAACTGCTGCCGATGTCAAAGGTATGAAAGCTACACTCTCCACTGGTAAGTGTATATAAATATATTTCAGGTTGTTTTACTCGGAACCAGGTAATGGATATGCCACTAGAATATGTTTCAGTAGTTATAACCAAATACAACTGTACAGGAAATATCCAGAAGTTGTGTGCATTGATTCTACGTATAATACTAATAATAAAAAGTGAATATGTTTATCGTTGTATTTTACTATGTAGATATTCCTTATTCCAGTTAGTGGTGACGGATAATTGCGGTCGAGGTCGAACTGTAATGTTTGCGTGGACTCGAAGGGAAAAGCGTGCCGATGTGATATGGATTTTAGATCAATTCAAAGAGATGATGGGTGACACAATGTTGACTGAAACATTTGTGATGGATTGCGCACGATGTGAAAGCGCGGCTGTCTGTATAACACACGGACATGCAAACATAATTTTGTGCGCCTTTCATGTAATTCACGCTTTCCGGAAAAAGGTACACCAATGGTTACTTATATAAAATTGCCCTTAGACAAACGACAAAATAATGAAAACGTACTTAACTCGATTGGTAACTGCGGAGACGGTTGGAAGGTAATTTTTGTAATGTGTTTATTCACTAGATTTAATCAATATTACAGAATAATAAATCGGCGGGACAGATTGATAGGTCAGTACCTGTCACGTTTTTGGATGGCACGTAAGACAATGTGGGCGCGTGCCTTTTACGGTCATGTTTTAACATTGGGTGACAGCACGAATAATCGTGTTGAATCGCTAAATAGGCAAATAAAACGATATGTACGAAAAAGTGATAGTCTGTACAAATGTATGTACAAGGCTTTACAATGGAGTGAATTGACGTCAACTAGAAGAAGTATCGAAGATCAAGTGATAGCCGGAAGATCTTATAAATATAATGCTCCACAGCGTCTTATACCCCTGCTAAACATTTTGACCCCATTCGCAAGATCTAAATTGTTATACGAACTTAAACAAATGCGTTTCGTCTACGTGGAATATGAAAGCGGCGACTGGTTGTTTATGGTTGACCGCAGACAACATTATGAAGTGGATATAAGCATTTGTCAATGCAATTGTAGCACGTTTATGATGTGTCGATATCCCTGCCGTCACATGCTACTTGCCTACGTTAAAAGACGAAATCTTACAGGTAAGCTATATCAATTATGAAATACTAACTGCATAGCTCATCAACTTCTTAGGTATTGTAGCAGATGGAAGTTACATAATACCCAGAACTTCCAAAATTATACATTAACTGCATTACCACGACGGAGTGAAGTGTATATAAGTATTCAACGAAGCCAAAGAATCCATAAGCATCGCATCATTGAGAAGTATGGTGAACGTTTCGCAACGGAAGTTGAGAAGAAAGTGGACAATTATTACTTAAGAATTCTTAATACCAACTTGTAAACTTGATTTTCTGCTTTAGCAGCAATGATTATTCAATAAACTTTCATAATTTTAATTTTCATCTTATTCCTACTTTCATGGGAATGAATAGCAATGATGTTCATGTGTAACTGTTTGTAATAATTAAGAATGATTAAGAAACCCTACATCCACGTGAAATGAAGTAGTAATTATTGATAACCTAATTCATTTCAATTATTCATAGTCAGGTATGTCAACTGTTTCCCACATCACTGTTAAATCCTAATGCATATTTAGTTATAATAAATGCAGTCTTGCAGATTTGGCACCTACACATCATATTCACCTTCGTCGGATTACGTTTATCATTAAAATCGTATCAGTAGCTAAGTAGATTTTAATGTCATGTGATTAGTTCTGCTTATGAAATAAAATGAAACCAGGAGAAATGTTGATTAACAGTGGTATGCATTCATTATAACTAAATATGCATTAGGATTTAACAGTGATGTGGGAAACAGTTGACATACCTGACTATGAATAATTGAAATGAAGTAGGTTATCAATAATTACTACTTCATTTCACGTGGATGTAGGGTTTCTTAATCATTCTTAATTATTACAAACAGTTACACATGAACATCATTGCTATTCATTCCCATGAAAGTAGGAATAAGATGAAAATTAAAATTATGAAAGTTTATTGAATAATCATTGCTGCTAAAGCAGAAAATCAAGTTTACAAGTTGGTATTAAGAATTCTTAAGTAATAATTGTCCACTTTCTTCTCAACTTCCGTTGCAAAACGTTCACCATACTTCTCAATGATGCGATGCTTATGGATTCTTTGGCTTCGTTGAATACTTATATACACTTCACTCCGTCGTGGTAATGCAGTTAATGTATAATTTTGGAAGTTCTGGGTATTATGTAACTTCCATCTGCTACAATACCTAAGAAGTTGATGAGTTATGCAGTTAGTATTTCACAATTGATATAGCTTACCTGTAAGATTTCGTCTTTTAACGTAGGCAAGTAGCATGTGACGGCAGGGATATCGACACATGATAAACGTGCTACAATTGCATTGACAAATGCTTACATCCACTTCATAATATTGTCCGGGGTCAACCATAAACAACCAGTCGCCGCTTTCATATTCCACGTAGACGAAACGCATTTGTTTAAGTTCGTATAACAATTTAGATCTTGCGAATGGGGTCAAAATGTTTAGCAGGGGTATAAGACGCTGTGGAGCATTATATTTATAAGATCTTCCGGCTATCACTTGATCTTTGATACTTCTTCTAGTTGACGTCATTTCACTCCATTTTAAAGCCTTGTACATACATTTGTACAGACTATCACTTTTTCGCACATATCGTTTTATTCGCCTATTTAGCGATTCAACACGATTATTCGTGCTGTTACCCAATGTTAAAACATGACCGTAAAAGGCACGCGCCCACATTGTCTTACATGCCATCCAAAAACGTGACAGGTACTGACCTATCAATCTGTCCCGCCGATTTATTATTCTGTAATATTGATTAAATCCAGTGAATAAACACATTACTAAGATTACCTTCCAACCGTTTCCGCAGTTACCAATCGAGTTAAGTACGTTTTCATTATTTTGTCGTTTGTCTAAGGGCAATTTTATATAAGTAACCATTGGTGTACCTTTTTCCGGAAAGCGTGAATTACATGAAAGGCGCACAAAATTATGTTTGCATGTCCGTGTGTTATACAGACAGCCGCGCTTTCACATCGTGCGCAATCCATCACAAATGTTTCAGTCAACATTGTGTCACCCATCATCTCTTTGAATTGATCTAAAATCCATATCACATCGGCACGCTTTTCCCTTCGAGTCCACGCAAACATTACAGTTCGACCTCGACCGCAATTATCCGTCACCACTAACTGGAATAAGGAATATCTACATAGTAAAATACAACGATAAACATATTCACTTTTTATTATTAGTATTATACGTAGAATCAATGCACACAACTTCTGGATATTTCCTGTACAGTTGTATTTGGTTATAACTACTGAAACATATTCTAGTGGCATATCCATTACCTGGTTCCGAGTAAAACAACCTGAAATATATTTATATACACTTACCAGTGGAGAGTGTAGCTTTCATACCTTTGACATCGGCAGCAGTTACTTGCTTACCAGTTCTCTCCTTAATACTTTCGATAACTTCATCTGCTGACTCACAGTGAAGTATTACGGGCTTCAAGTTCTCTTTTTCTTCTGACGATAATCTCCTTGTCCATGGATCACATACCATCTATGAACTACTACATGGATGATTGTGGAGCATGTTGTAGGATTTGATGACATATCCTTGCTCCTCTAGTCTTACACGGAATTTAGACCTTAAACATAAGATATTAGTTAAAGATCTTACGATTTTTGCCTCACTTTCAAACCTTCCGATTTCCGTTTATGACCAAACGTACAATTAAACGATACAAACAGGTATTTGAACCTGACATCCTTCAGCAATCTGCTTTCTGTGTGGATGTAACGAGTATAAGTAGTCTGAGAAGCGATAAAATTATAATTCCATACTTTTTGGAACTCTTTTAAGGCGCTTTCAAAATCATCCCACAACACGAAACGCTTGTTCAGTATCATACTTCGAAAGGCATCGGTTAGGTCGACTGAAATGTCACTTGAGCATGAAGCACTAAAAACAGACATGACTAATTATTAAAAAGTTATTCCTTGCAACAATAATAACCCAAGGAAATACTACAAACATTTAGGATTTACCTGTGACTTGACATTTCGTTGAGCTTTACTACAGTTGTTGGGATCAAAGACCAAATTACAAAGCAACAACAGAGCCAAAGTATACACTACAAAACAGAGAACGCTAAATTAATGGTTTTGGTATTTATTTCGTGCTTTTTTATGTAGCATAAGATGACTTATATATGAAAAAACTTGATACTCATGCAATCCAACCAACCCACGGCAATTGAAATACGGAATGATCGCCTCTAGTCAAGCCGTTCAAGGTCGTTGAAACGAAAGGGCGGGCACATTTCGAAAGGACCTAACGTTTAAACCTTGCCTGATGAAAACTAACTCTAAAACCCCAATCATAATTAAGGACAATGTGAAGACTCTTAAAAATTCATTTGGAATTTATAAGTTCCAAAAGACAGACAAACTATATTCATAATGTTGTTGTTTTTTATTTAGAAGCAGAGTAACATGCAGAAGACGAGAATAGATTTATTAATTATGTAGATCTGTTCATATTTTGCAATATTGTTATTTTCTTTTCCATAAACTATCCACATACAATACCTGTTTTTTGATTGGCTATAAACTATCTGAAAATTTACCGTAGTTGTTTTGATTCCATCCTTACACTAGACTTTTGCTGAAATTTGTCTAAATATTTCCTTTTTTCATTATTGGCTTGCGAAAAAGGAAGTGCCAAGGCAGACAATCAGAGTCAACAAAAGATTACTTAATCAGCTTTTGGGATAGTCAGGTTATAAGGTCAAAATTCTCATAGCCGAATCCATACAAGCTGTCACAAGGTTGTAAACAGAAGTCTAATGTACCAAGGCCATTGATAATCTGTAAGTTAAATTCTATACATAGGCGAATTTAGAGCCAGTATGTATTCGAGATTATCACATTATATGGCCTTGGTAATAGAATGGTCTCAATTAAGGATCCATTCGAAATAATAAAGACCTCGATATAGATAGGACTATTAGGCTCGAGGTCTTATAAGGAGTTCTTAACCATTAGAAAATCGAGTGGTAGCTTAAACCGATGCACATATGTACAGGGTTTTGCGTTGCAAATGACTGACTTACACATTTCCAATTTCAGCCCATTTATCATACAACGCGATGATCAACCAATGGTGTTGGCAACAAATAATTTGCCTCCGATGTGTATGAACATTAGTCGCGGTTATACAAAGCTAGAGCTTCAGGAAGTCCTGATTCTAAACCGATGGTGTACATGGACTGCAGGATCTTGGGGAAGCGAATGGAGTATGAATTCATCCTGATCACCGGCTATCATGGAACGGTATCGCTTGATATTGCCCCACTACCTTTTGTATTATATCTCAAAGTGAAAGGGCCGGGGGACCGACCTCTTAAGAAGACTAACTGCTCTAGTTCGGATGTTCATATATATATATATATATATATATATATATATATATATATATCCATGATTTCACCACAATGTTATTCGATTTTTAATTACCATTTATATAAGATTTTATAAGTATTAAAACTAACTAAAATTGTTCAATGTACATGCAAAAGAACAAAAGCAAAACAGTAAAATTTATCTTAGTAATATTAACTTACTTGAAGTGAATTCACACTAGTCCCAAGTCTTGGCCACTCTGTTTCATCTGTAACTAATCCAATAGGTTTTAAGCTTGAATCAGATAATTTTCTGTTAGACGGAGTACTTTTTATTATATTAACCTCAGTATTTTTAATAAAATACTTTTTATCTTGATTGATTGTTTTAATTCTACTTGTAACAGAGTTAATAGTTGATGTAATGATAGCATTATTATGACTAATACATGTATTAGTATTGGTAGTGGTATTAGTATGATTAGTCCTAGACTTGAAACTGTTCTTTTTATACTCATTACGAGGCATACTGTTAACTTTTTCCATCCCAGTTGTATAACCATCATAATACTCGTGTTGGTACTGTTGTTCCTGTTCATTTAAACAGTTCTTAGTACTTTTACGGATATTATCATCATTATTTACTTTAGCAATATCAGTAGGGTTAAGAGCATGAATCGAATTATGACTGCTACGAGAGGTAATGACAACATTTTCATTGGTACTTGCTTGACCATTGAATCGCTGTTGATGAAGACCTATATGATTAGTAGAAGCAGTAGTATTGTGAGTGTTACTAGTAGTAGTAGTAGTAGTAGTAGTAGTAGTAATTATAGTTTTACACTTATCAGAATGAAATTTCTTTATTCCATTGGTAGGGTTTCGTTTTAACGCACCGATAGAAAGTGAATGATTATTATTACTATCATTAATATCATTTTTATTGTTATCATCAATAATTACACTATTGTGAATAAATTCTTCTGATTTATGATGGTGAAGAACACTTTCATCGCCTGATGAATGCTTTTGTAACCTTTTATGAAACTCTTCAACGGACCCACCACTATAAGTGCTACCATTTTGATGATGATGACGGCGACGCGTTCGATTAGTGTTATGAGAGTTACTAACACAGTTAATACGCACTTGACTTGTCAACTTATTCGATGTAACAAGTTGTTTTCCATGGAATGGTAAATATTGATTACTCTGAGAACATTGTTGTCGCGGTGAATGAATCATCAACGGTGTTGTATAATTTGATTGTGGTAAACTATTTATAAAACTATGAGATATTACATTGTCCGAAGGACAATGTTCATGAATATGACATGGTTGTCGACTGTTTGTTTTGACAGTAGTAGGGTTACGATTCATTTCTGAGTGTTGAATAGGATAATCTGGAGATGGTAAACTAGGATATGTGCATGACCAATAACTGACGGCTAAGGGCGCCATAGGTATACTTGGTGTGGTCGATAGTGTTTGCTTTTGTATATGTTGACAATTCGATCCGAAATATCCTGTAAAACCACGTCGACCAGAGTCATTATGTAAATACATTGTAGCATCAAGATCACATGAACCGGGCGATGGAAATACAACATTATTTTGATAATGATATTGTGAAAATCCACCGAGATCACAACGTGACTGACCAGTAGGAATATCAACAGACTGTTGTTGCCGTTGTTGATGTCTTTCTTGAGGATGATCTTGAAGGTGTGGATTTGGAAAAGGTAGAAAATGTTGACCATGTTGTAAAGCTGGTGATGTATACGGTCCAGATATGTATCCACTGGTATGACCTATAGTGATTGATTTATCAAAAAGTGTATTTCTTCTTGATTGGAAATTAAATTTCGATAATTTGGTGAAATTTATTGGCCAAGCTGTGGAACGAGATTCAGTAGAAAGAAAAAAAACAGATAAAACCGTGTACAATACAGAAAAATTGTCAGTATTACCAAGAGCATAACACAACAGATGAAGAGTTACGTAAGCAAAAACAATACTTTTAATTATTTTCCGTAAACTGTCAAATTTGTTACAACAGTTAAAATCATGAGGTCATAATACTTAGCAGTGGAATTTATGATACTCGTTCCATCCCATTTTGGACTCATTTGAATTATGGACCCGCATTCTAACGTTGGTATTGAAGCTCGAACTCGCCACATTTTCCTTCAAATACACGTGTTATTCACTAAGCTACTGGATCTAAGGACAGCTTCTAAAGTGCTCAAAGGGTGTGGAGATATATGTAAGCGTTTGTAGTTTCCTTTAGTTGATACTCAGGACTGTAAATGATCAGTCTCAACACCAACACCGAGATCTAGGCACCTTCAGTTGATGACTCTCAAATACGACGACACGCGATACCTGCATTTCATTGATATTTAAACACAAAGTAAACTAAAACTTGTGAGATCAAATAAAATATAGGTAATCCGCTCAAGGTGCACACATATATCTACTGAGACTGATAATTAATCTCAGTTGTGGATATCACCAACGGAAAGTTACAAACCTTTATTTGGAAACAGCACCCGACGGCCGTTTCGACTTAGTATGGAAATCCTGACGAGTGCGCACCCACGATCCTGGGTCTGAGAATCGGACTTAGGACCATTTGTTTCGTGCGCAACCCTTAACCTTTAGAGCCAACATCCAATAATGTACAACTATTTTACACCCGACATGTACACTAGCTTAAAATAGTTCGTGATTTAAACTATGAAATTTTATTAATTAATATTGGAATAGATGTGAAGGTTAAATTAAAACCACCGCAGTACGAATTTTATCTTAATAAATAGACAGCACTAAATTACAATGTTTAGAGGTTACCTTAAAACAAAAGTCTTTTTTCTCAATGACGCAATTATAACACACGTTAATGAAAAGCTCTAATTAGTCACACTGAATGATGCCTACAACTTTAACCAAATATTTTATCTGGCGTACAGACTATGTTGGATCCGCAGTCATATTGCTTATACTCGACAGTTGGAAAGCACTCTAATTCCTTGATCCTACTGCTCACAATTCGAAACAAGAACCACGGTAATTCCAACGACATAAACAGGAACACGAAAGGCTGGTGCAATGAAGATTCACTGGCTCTCTAAAAAACAATTCACTTGTTAATCCCATCACATCACCGACCAATTACAATAGGAAGATCTCTCTGATAAAGGTCGAATATCAATGTAAGCAACTTGGGATATATATATCACACGACGGTGGGATGAAAGTTCAATCAACCACACAATTAAAACAGTAACACGACAATCAGTTAGTTAAGTAGACACAAGTAACCGCACAAGGAAACATAAAACCTCAACTAATAACTTTCTATATTTAGAAATATTTTTTTAAATACGCCTAAAAAGTTATTAATAAAAACTTTTTAATAGGGGTATTATTGCTAAACAGTTAACCTTTGTCTGAGGTAAAGAATTTTTTTTAGCTAAATGTGCATAATTTACCCATCATTAGGCTATTAAATTAAATTAATAAGAAACCTAGAGGAGTGGTCAAGCCAAAACAAGACCGAATATCCATTTACAAAAACAATCAATTATTCCACATGGATAGTTTTTTAAATGAATGAAAAAGGTCCACATTCATATATACATATATATATATATATATATATATATATATATATATATATATATATATATATATATATATATTAATCATGTATTATCACTTATCATCCAGTAAGCTAAGTCTCTACTGTCCAATTTTAATGTATAAAATGAAGAAAGATTCAGTTAAACTATATAAAACCTATAAAGATTATCACATCGGTTAATAACAATTGGTGTGAATGTATAAAATAATGAAGATGCTACAACTGCTCAGCAGGACGAAGTTAACGATGCTAGACTTTCTGAACTGAGTAGTTTATTCGAGCTGCTTTCCAATGTTTGTTTCTTTCGAAAAATTATAAGAACACACTATACCAAATCAGAAAATATAGACAGTCTTAAGATGATAATGATAAAACCAATCACATGACGGTTATTTAGTTACACATATTAGAAAAAGAATACTGATACACACTACTTGAAAAATGGAACTTTTTCGTTAAGTTGAATATTTGAAAGAAAAAAACTACTCGAATATAAACTCAGTAAAGTAATTCTATCAGGCTTTTCTCACGTACAAAAGTTTAGAAAACTGTTTAACTGAATAGACAGAATAAAGTATAAATACTATTTCATTGAAAAAAACAACAACGAGAAAACATGACAGTACAAACAGAAGAATAAAAAGTTTACAATGACGACCTTTGGCCCAGTGACTAGTTTTGAGAGGAAATTTCTAGAGTTCTAGTGAGAAGTCGCGATCAGTGGATTTCAACTGTGTCAGGTGTGAGGTAGATAAGCACCGAACCCAATGGAAGATGGTCATGAAATATCGTAGGTTGTTAGAATTATAAACTAACACTAATGGATACCGACCCAATTGTCTAGAGATTAAGTGTTCGTCTGTGCGACTGAAAGTCCCATGTGCGTGGTCGCGGATGCGCATTGTGGAGGAGTCCATGTTAGGACGAAACGGTCGTCCAGTGTTTCCAGGTTTTTAATGGTGGCTAGTGATTTTTAATCGAATTCGACATTCTCAACAACCCTTTACTAACACAACTAGTAAAATTTATTGAAATGTGCGTTCATATATAACATGATGAATTATCATGCTATTTATAGTCAATTATATCGGGGGTATCATTACTTGGCATTGACCCACACTTCAAGTTCAGAAGTTAGTGTTACTAAAACGTTGCCCAAGCAGAAATATATTCGGCGCGACTCGAACCTAGAACTTAGTGGCCTAACTGCACATCACAACATGTGAACCACTCTTGAACAGTTCAGATTTTATTCATCCAGCAAGTACAAGATAAAACAGGTAAAATGAAAAATTCTTCAGTAAATGAATTACTCAGAGAAGTTGATGTGTTAAGAGTACATCACCAGTTCACTCGTCAAATTCAGATGGTGAAGATCTGTATTTCACTGGATGACTTTGATGGAAGTTTAGTTCTCACAGTTAGTTCTTTCATCATCACGCTTTTATTGTTCTTCCAAAGAACATCAGCAGAAGCATCAGATCAGTAATAACCAATCAAAACCAAAGTCAACAGCACAAGCTGTCAATTAAAGTAGTTCACTTCTACCTGAACTTTGTACTGATAATGTTGCTCAGAAGAACAATGAAGGCATCATGATTAAACCATCCAGTTCAGAAAACAAAACTCCGCCAAAAAATTATCGAATTGCACAACAGATTACATCCTTCATCATTGTAACCGGAAGCTGAAAAAGCTTTTCTTCGAAATAAAAATGTTAAAGAAACACACACACACACACACACGAGATTAGTTTACAATTAAAGAAAATCTGTTCGATCACACAGAACGAGGTAAACAAACAAAACGAATTAATGTATGGGTTATATTTACACAAAATTTGTTAGTGTTATTTATAAAATACCTATTTTTAATGCATTAATACCGTTCGATTAGTGTTATGAGACTTTATTTATTATCGTTGGCAGTGTGCTGTGATTAGACTACAACAATAATAACAGCAAGCTGTTAACATAAAAGTCAATGGATAATCTACTATACCTTTACGAAGGATGGACAATTCCATTAATTGCATCATTTTCACTTTGTCTTCCTTATCCGACTGTTTTTTGTGTGTATGAGTGTGTGGAGACAGAGGGAGAGAGAACAAGGAAAGTTATTACACACGACATAAGATATATGTACATATACACATGATAGATAGTACCTATGAAAATATAAGGTACATTGGAATACTTCCAATTTTGATCACGATGACTGAAGATCCTGGGGTTTAAGTGTCGAGTGCGGAATTATGGACGTGTACTGCTGAGTCTCATACTAGGTCGAAATGGCTGTCTAGTGCTTTCAGGTCTTTAACAGTGGTCTAGCATAGATCGACTCGTGATTTTAACTGTGTAAAGACAAAACGGGTTTAAATCGTTCATGAACAAACTCCGAAAACTCTAATTTATGGATTAAATCCTAAACTATTTTGCTTCGAATGATTTGGTATTAAAATAATAAATACCATAGGTTGTGTATAATGTGTTTAACAACGATAAAGATTGTATTTCACTTAAAACAATTTATCTCTACTGTAAAAAACCATTACGATATACATTAAGGGAGAGGTATACTATCAAATCAATCAGCTTTTAGGTTTAAGAGCGAAGTATGAACTGCAATGTTAGCTATTGATCGTCGACAAATAAAGTCTATTTGGCTATCAAACGATTTCGTATGAATGGAAAAAAAAACATGAAATCCTTGCTTACATTTCTAAATGCTAATTGTGTTGGCAGAGTAAATCGATAAGGTCTGATGTTTGTTCAAAATTAACTCTTAAACAAATCATATTGTTAGTAATCCTCATTGGATATTAGATAGGTATACAAATGTTATCCATTTATAGATTGTTTTTCGATAACACCTTTTAATCAACCTAGTAAAACCTGTGCAATCAAATAGGTGGTAGTTATGCGGAGTGGTATAAAAGAAGTCAAACAACCTGAGGGAAATAAATTGATGCCCAGGATAAATCACCTTCTAAAACAAACACACATCGTTTCTGATAATGAGAAACTGATTTAAAAGTCGAAAATAGATGAATCATTTTTTTGAAAGAACGTTTTACAGATAAAAAGTTCAGTTATTTTGAACAATACTTCATACATATAATGCAATTTGTAGTCATTGTGACTGAATGTTTTTAGCAAAACTAATTTACAAGATTATTTCCTTTAAAGGTTTTCACTAACTAGGATTCCTCAATCACATGATAATATTAGCTTCATCATAAAATTAAATATCTGGCAGAACATAGTATTGCCATCAATACCTAGAAGGCTATTGTTCTTTACATAAGACAGCTTGAATACACAAGTATTTTAGATGACAGCCCTACATATATAATCAATAATCCACAACGAAAAACTATGTATAAATAATTCGGTCGAATGACAACACTACTTAAATTATGATGAAAAACCAACGAATTATAAATCAATCAATTAGAGAGATTTCTATCCTAACATATCATGTATTTCTTCGCGCATAGCAAATGTAGATCTACCTAACTAATAATTACATGTTTACCACTGTTAAATTTCGAGGTGATTACTCTCAAAGTTCTAATTTTTTTAACTACAGACACTAACCGATATCACGTGTTAAATTCGCCAATCGGAATTCCGACTATAAGTTTCTCTACCTCGTGTCTACTACTCAGTTTATAGCTTGGAGTTTTAGATTTGACCTATAACACATTTGATCCAAAGTGTTAATCCTGAAAAAATGCAAACTAAATTCCTATTAATATTCTATACTCAAATCTTTATTCCTTGAGTTCGGAAATAAGCTACTAGTCAGTTATTATTATTATTACTGTTATTATTATTATTATTATTATTATTATTATTATTATTATTATTATTATTATTATTAAATTCCAAGTACACATGAGTTTATGTACAAACATACTGAACCATACAGCACCAAAAATGAAAAATAACAATTATAAATAAACGAACCAGGAGTGGCTGTAAATAGGGGAAGCTGTAAATAATAGACCAGTAATAAATCAGAAATAGTAAATCGCATAACAGTGGTTAATGAGTTAAACAGAAACTAATGTAGACGGAATATAAAGGTACAGTAATCGAGCTATTAAGTAACCATACAACAAAGATATAAACAATAATAATTCAAAAAATGGTTCCGAAAGTTCCAAACGCCCCACGAATTCATGCTTCTAAATGCCATGGTACGGTAAAGGGAGGAGAGAGTCAGCTCTCCCTCTTGAAATGCTCTCACATGGCCACGCGTATACAGCCACTTCAAGGGATGTCCTGTTAACTGTCTTCTCGTAGTAGGGGTATTGTTTACGAAATTGAGAGGACGAAAAGCGAATGTCTGGTGCTTTAACTGGGTTGGTAGATATGGAGGATCCATATAGAGGGATTGGAAAGTCCTGATTCCAAACCACTGGTGCACAAGAGCTCCAGGATTCTGAGGGAACGAATGGTGTATGAACCAATCGATGGTCACCGGCTACCATGAGATTGCATCTCTCAACGTTGCCCCACTGTCTTACGAATTAAATCTCTAGGCCAAATGCTTGAGGTGTGATCCTCTAAGAAACCATCTGCTTCGGTTTGGGCGTCCGGGCAGTATTCCAACCCTCACACAAATCAAATGAAGTGTAGCACACACATATTTTGTGCCTGTTTGTACTAATGTTCATGTGTTGTAATAAACTTTTCATCTTGTTACAACACTAGTGAGAAACTATGATCATACCGCATGTTGAGCATTTATCCACGAATGGTATTAAGATGGTCGCACAATAACACGGATTGACTGAAGTTCTTTAGACATATAAACTATGAAGTTCCGGCCTAATGGTCTAAAGCCTAAATGCTCATCCTGAGGCCTGAAGGCCTCACATTCGATACTCTGACGTGAAGGTCGTGAATACGCGCAGCTGATGAGTCCTTCACACTAACGTAAAACGGTTGTACAATGCTTCCTAGTTTCCAATAGCTCTCTCTAATTAAGACCAATCTGTGAAGCAAACTATAACTGCCTACCTACTTCTCTATTCATTTATCTACATATTTATTTGCAAGTTTCTCAACCTTACTATGAACGTAACTGATAAACTCTCATCACTAGATATTCAACATTATTATCACTGAGTGAAACAAGTGAAATGGAAATGACAAGATGAATAGTGGCAGTTTGTATACACACAACGGCATAACTATTCTAAAGAGTAGAATAAATCACTTTAAATTAAGATATACTGTGTACACAGTTAAAACTAATTACTATCACTATCATCGTTATTATTATTATTATTATTATTATTATTATTATTATTATTATTAGTAGTAGTAGTAGTAGTAGTAGTAGTAGTAGTAGTAGTAGTAGTAGTAGTAGTAGTAGTAGTAGTAGTAGTAGTAGTAGTGATAGTAAGTAGTAACTATGATCTGCATGTATGTGTTATTATATCACGAGATTGAAAAATAGAAATAAATAAATACAGAACCATATAGGTAGTTTGAAAAGTAATAAAAATGACAATATATGTTCACGAAAATAGATCATTTTGACGTTAATGCTGACAATACAACATGTGGTAATGCATTGTACACAAATGATTGTGGGGAAAACAACACTTTCGCTTACCAAGAGAGAGAAGAAAGCAATTTATGGTAATAAAATCACGCAATCAATGAAAAACTAAAATGAGTTTAAATCTCATTAATATGACCATAGAAATAGAAAGATGTATAAATATTAGTAATGATATGTACGCTAGTTGTAATACCTATTTTACACTCACTAAGCATGCTTTTTTCTGAGACAAATTTCTTAATACTAGCTTATAAGAAAGTAGAAATGCATTTAAGTTTAAATTCATCTAACGTAACTCAGTAAACAAGTGCTTTGAGTCCCGATTCTATGTGAAAAACTAAATGTACAAAACGACGTCGAGTTGGTGGTACGGAATTCAAATCAGTGACACTGTAGTTAAATGTCGAGTATTTTAACCATTAAGTCACTAGTCCTCTTTTTTGTATATATCTTTTGATCGATATAACAACAATTATTATTATTTGACACGATGATGTCCAGTCACTAGTTACTTGTCTATTTTCAAGTTAATAACAATCATTACAAAATTATATATCATAATCAGCTTTATCATTCAGATTTTATTCAAGATTATTGTCTGACATTACCTAAGAAATTTGAAGTCACAAGTTTCAACACGCTATAAAAATGCATTTATTCAGAGCACATACACACATGCATAAAGCCTGAAATAGGTCTCACACAAGAAGAAAAATAAGACTAAAATGCGATTTATTGTACTTACTACTTTTAAACTTTCCTGTAGAAACATACTAATATATTCGCTGGCTTTTTCAAGTCTAACTTTAGCACGATTTTCGTAATCTTCAACAGTAATTAGAACATGCAAATTGTCATTTAAATGATGCTCCAAGTTTGGCCGAACAAAATTTGCTCCAACCTAAATTCAAATACCATGTAGAATAGAAAATAAGTGTTTTTTTTAAATAATATGAACAATGACAGAAATACAAAAATTTGAATGAATAGCCGATCGTAGATACGCACTGCTGAGGAGCCCCGTACTAGAACGAAGCGGTCGCCTAGTGCTTCCAAGTTTTCAGTGGTGTTGGCATAATCATTTAGCAACGGTAGAATCTGGTAAATATTTAGATTGGTTTCAGTTTCCAGATTACATCAACAAAGCGAGATGTGATTGTGAAGACAAATGTCAGAGTATTAGTACAAGTAGTAATAATGTCAGTGTTAATTAGATAGACCAGGCATGGACATTATGATTTTTAAAGAAATGAATCCGCAGAATAAAATATGTACGGTACTTTTAAAAATTAATATTTGAGGGAAGACAAGAATCGAATGCATATGAGTCATGTCACACATCTTCAACCAGGTAGTTTGTATCTGCCAACATGATCTGACTCAAAAGTCAATTACTTCATTGACTGATATCATGTTTTGATTTGCCTATATAGATAACCTTATTCCAAACTATTGCTACCCCAGTGAATATCGCACGTCGAAATAGGCAATTGTTGGATATTTGTAACAATACATTTCTGAACCACTTCGGTAGATGAATCATTACCTCATCAGTCAGTTTGTTATCTTTACCTACAAATGTGAATAATTTATTATCAATGAAAAACTTGAAATCGAATACAACAGAACTATCTCATGAATAATGAGTCCACACCTCAATTTTGATGGGAAGATAATGTTTTTATACAAATGTACTGACTTGTGTATTGATGGATTAATTCCTATTTGACTGGCTTAACAACCACCACTCACAAGGAATAGTAAAAAGAGTAAAATAGCTGAATAAATCAAGTCGTGTTGAACATAATTTTAATCGCCACTTAAATATTATGATGCAGCCTAGTCAGAAAGATGTACTGATTTTGATTATTTAAACAATGAATTAAAGTTGATTCAATAAGAATGTGGATTTGTTGACTTTCCTAATGTATATTTCAATTATTTCTACTGTCATGATGGTCATTAATCTAAATTTTGTTCATTTTCAATGTGGTGTGAGATGGAAAAACAAAGTCGATGATAAACTAATTTAAAGTAGAAAATGGTTTTATTTTTTCGCTGACATTTAGAAAAAAATAGATACTCCTGGAGTAGAATTTCTTTGATAACACTCACTTGATAAATAATAAAGAAAGCTGTAACCAGTGGATTTCAATCAAAGTCGGGTGTGAGACAGATGTCTACCTCATCCAACGGATGGAGGGTTGCGCATGATCATGGGTTAATTGAAATTAGAGATTAACACCGTAGGGTTCCGGCTTAGTGGTTTAGAGGCTAAGTGTTTGCGCGCGAGACCGAAGGTCATGGGTTCTAGTCCCGCGTGCGGGATCGTAGATACGTATTACTGGGGAGTCCCATACTATGAAGAAACGGCCGTCCAGTGCTTCCAGGTTTTCAATGGTGGTCTAGCTTAGATTGACTCATGATTTCAGCTATGAATATATAAATATTATGAAATAACAATGTATTGATGAACAGTGATCTATGTCAAGAATACACTCACATAGTGAGATTGTTTTCAATCTATAAGCTGGTTGAGATTCAGAGAGTTGCCCAATGGTGCCTAGGTAGGTGAAGGACTTTGGTAAAGAGTTCAAATAACCTCCATCTACTTTCCACTTGCCTATTCATTAACAGTATAAATTTACAACTAAATTAGGCGCCAGAATTTAGTTGAAATTAGAAGTTTGGGGAAGTTTCGTGAAACTGAGTGAGATCACTGATTGTGTCCGGGCTTATATGAGGGAACAGAAGGACTAATTCAACTAATACAGTTTTTAAAATAATGGCATTTAGAGTTATCTGATACTTAGGTAAGACTTTGAAACAGTAAACTTGAAAAATCCAGACCGTTCTTTAATCAGGAAATGGATGCAGTCACCTAAATTTCGATCTTCAAGTTCTGAAGCATAGACATACTTACCGACACTTAACCGTCGCTGTATTTCTTAACCTGCCTTATACGATTCCATTGATTGGTCAGGTTTATATTATCATTTTCTATTGAAAGGGATATTAAAGAAGTACATAAACCTCTTAATAACTCTTCCCTTCGAACCCGTTTGCCAAATAAACGCCTGCAGATAACTCATAACGATATTTTTCAGGATTGAACGCTCACCCCCTTATCTGACGCCAGGCTATCTGATGTTGAATACCACTGTATGTCCAAGTCAGGTTCCAGACTAAATAAATAGTTGACTGAGTTTTATGCCAGTTCTCTCGACTAGTCAGAAAGTTGTGTATATTAATTACAGTATTATTTTAGATTTTTTCGACCTTAGACAATAAATTTTTATGTATTACTGGGATAGTCAAACTATGCATTTGGTTTGTGATATTATGATTCTGTAATCTAGAAAGATTGTTAAACCGCTGTCTAAACACATACCATAATTTCTTTTTTCCTCTCACCACTCTATCGGGCCCAAATCCAAGTACACGTACACACGCATATATGCAATGTTTGTTTGTCTTTCCATTTTAAACCATAAATTTGATTTTCACTCTTCCAGCAAAAGTAACATGCATTGTTGGAATAGAAGTTGTCGATATATGAATGAATGCCCGGGAAATTATTTCATTCTAGTTACCTGTGTACTCGATGAAATTTATTTTGCTAAAATAAACACACAGGATCTACATGTGCATTTTCAGTGTTTATATAAATAGAGTCCGTAACTAGTCGAGTGGCTTCTGAGATTTAATTTTTAGACTACCTTTAATTTAAAATGTTTGTATTGGTAATTCAAAATCATTATTTACTATCGGAGTACAAAAGTACTTTCGCTACAACTTCTGCATATACACCGTTTTGACTTAGAATGTGTACATTATACCCCTAAGTATGTGACAGATACTTTGGGAGATTTTTTCCTGAATAAAATAATGTAGAAGTGCATCATATTAACATTAACACTCAGTGTGATATTTATAACGAACTTGAATCCAAATACGTAGAAGACTATCTGTGCAAAACTATATCGTATTTTGAAGAAATATGCTCCTTACAAAGACATATAACAGGAAGTTGTGAAACCCTCACACAATCTACAGTTACATTTTTTTCTAAAAAAAAATAAAACGAATTTAGGAGTGTAAATACGTTCAGCTATTTGCAGTGACCTTACATTGGTATTCGAATGTTTAAATGAATTCTAACCCTACGAAAATAATACTGTACAAACATGAACGGAACAAGTTTTACGTATACCTACACTACTACTTACTCTAACGTGTAGAATGACGCTTAGGAGTAAGTTGAAAAAAGATAAGAATTGGTAAATCAAGAGAATGACATTGGTCCATAGAATCATTGGCTGCTGGTTTGATTGGTGCTAGAAGATGTAAACTTTTTAGCTTGAGACAGCATTGAGTGAAATAGGGTAAATTTAGTGATATTACCAAAATTGCAAGCATTCTCTACCTTCCATGAAATCAAATATTGTGCACAATGGAGACGTACTGACATTAATGAAAGTCTACTTCAATATATATATAATTTATCGATTTATGTGGATGATGTTTTACTGTGTAATGATACTCAAGCCAAGCAATCTGCACGTGATCAGTGCCCTTAAGTACGACATGTGCTTTGGACCTACTAATTTCAAAGTACTTTTACAAGACTATTAGGAGCTTGTAACTGTCTTCACTCTTGTTAGTGAACAGTTAGAAATTGTAACATACTAATAATACACTACCATAATTATTCATAATTCAGTATTAACGATTAAAATAACGTTAGTTATCAAACAAATAACCACGTTCATTCTGATAGATTCTTAGAAAGAATATTTTAAGACCTCTATACGATCCCGCTACTCTTATTGCTTAGTATTTTTCGGATACATTACTCGACTAGTCCCAAAAATCAGAACACGTCTGAACAGGGACAAAATTAGACTTTAAATAAACCAAGTTGAATGAGAGTAATAATCATAAGGCGAACTGTTAGTAAACTTATAATTTATACACAAGAATATTTTAGAGTCTTCTTTATATATCTCCTAGAGCTGATTGGCTAAAAATGGGGCAATCAGCGCACCCCAATATCATCCAGTATAAGACATGGGTTATTTCCAATATATGACCTGTTAACAGAATCTCTGAATGAATACGCAATTTCACAAAATTTACTATTCAAATAAAAATAATAACACATAAATGTTAAATAAATTTCAGTAGAAAACAAGAACCCTCACTTTAGAAAAACAAGATTCAATCACAACTCACTTTTGTTTGATCTCGCATAGATCCACGACCACGAATCATAATTCTTACTCCTAAAAATTGTTGTAAACATTTAGCAGTGGATCCGTGAGGACCAAGAATTCGTCCAACAAAGTTGTACTACATAATATTATGCACGTTTATGAAGACAGGGAAATATCGTTTGGAAATGAAAAATAAACACAAATAAAGATAGTGCAAATTGATGAAAACGATACCAATAGAGATAAAGCGGGATTCAAACATACAATCCAATTGTTGATTATTTAAACAAACTACGGAATTATTACTTTTACAGTAGAAAACAAGAAAAAAGACAAAAGTGATCTACTTTGAATTTACCAGATTGAGTAATAACTGTTTAGAGCTTTAGTAAAATTGTAGAACGTTCGTTAATCTTTCAGTCTAACATTTAAGGCGTTTGTTATCTTTCGCGACAACGACCAAGAAAAAAAGGTGACTAACCATGCAAATCAGTACCATTTAAACGTTGGTATTCTTAAGTTTTAACAAGAAAAACGTTAATTGTCATTTTTTCCATATTATTCACTTGGAATAGGTGTAACCTACAATTTTTACGCGGTACGAAAATCGTACAGATAGACATAGAACACATAAACCATTATAGTGTACAATATCATGCTAGGTATATGCAAATATACCTCTTAAAATTCCACTGAAATAAAAAGCAACTGTTAAAAACGATAACAAAACAAATGATCCTATAAAGGCAGCATATATATATATTTTTCTCTCTCACTCGTCACAAATCACAAAAATTAGTAAAATTTGTCTCCTCTTAAAATTTTCATTACACTTAACAAAACTATCTTACACACAGCGAAACCCCAATAACAGCAAAAATTTTTTCCGTAAAAGAAAGTTGAATGTCTCCATAAAATGATACTAATTATGGTAACAAATCGTTGATTAAATCTAAACAGACTGAATTCATAGAAATAGTTACTTCAGTAGTAGTTATATTATCAAAGAAAGATTGTGTATAAGGATATAGTGCAGGAAGAGAGAATTAGTTCGTAGAAAGAAAGATATGAAGCGATTTTAATCTCGCGGTTTAAGGGAAAACAAGGAGGGTACACACCGATGTCATTGTGATCGATTCTGAGCCATGTCACACAAAGTCTCCAACCATTGGTTACGATAGTCACGCAGACCTCAACCAAGTAGTCTGCATCTACCAACATGGCTCATATCAGAGGTTAGTGACTTTATGGACTGATGCCACGTTTTTGTTTGGCCGCCCCTAACATTCTTCCACTCGTTTTCAACACTAGTCAGCATTGCGCGTCGTGGTAATTGGTGTTCAGGCATACGCAACACAGTCGATGAAGTTTTACAACCTTATCAACTGATTTACCATCATTCCCTAATACCCTGCGTCTAACCTCACTATTACTTACCCGGTGATCCCACCAGATGCGAGCACTATTTCTAAGGCATCTGTGATCGAGTATCTTCTAGTTTTAAAGGCCACGTTTTGCAGCCAAAAAGTAGAACAGAACAAACTGCCGCACTGTATACTCGTCCCTTAATTGATAGACGAGTATCTCGCCTTCGCCATAGGTGAGATAAGTTGGCAAAAGCCAAACGAGTTTTTGAATCCGTGCAGAGATTTCGTCAAGCACCAACCCAATAGGGTTGATGAGACTTCCGAGGTGGTGAAGTTGTCGATGTGTCCGACTACTTCACTCTCTATCCTTAGTTCAGTTGTTGACGCAGGCCAGTCCTGAAGTAACAACTTACATTTAAAGGAATAGCAACGCGTCCCAAACATTTCCTTCGTGGAAATCTTTCTACATTGGAGAGACCTAAAACAAACTCCCATGTTATACAATATATATGGACTTCAGCTAACATATTGTCTCAGTATTTTTCGTCATTCATAAATGTATACAAAAGGTTATCATATATACTTAACAAATGTATTGTTATGAGAAAGCATTAAGTTGACAATATGTTTTCTCTTAATTTATTAGCTCGTTAGGTGACCATACTGGAGTTTTTTCCAATCTAACTTAACTCATGCCAGAATGACATTAAAATAGTGTCACTGCAATCAATTTATGTTTGTCAGTATGATAATTTTACATCAAGATAATGAAGGTCAATCTTTCTAATAAGCACTACTTGTCATTTTGTCAATTGGCAACTCTACATAAGCCATCACTCAACATGATTCATATGGGATTTCGTGTAGGTAGGCGATGAACTACAAATTTTAAGGCTTCAGTCAGTCACTCAGCTACAACGTAGGACGAGGCACATATATGCATCGGTCCAAGTTGCCATACCGCATTAGCACAGCAAGATGAACATCGGATTCATAGGAGTAGTTAAGTCAATGGTGTTAACCTAATTAGGTCAATATAACTTACCGTAAGACGATTTTCATCTACCAATAATTATGTGACTCATCCGTAAACTACAGATTTATCAACTCGGCTTTGAGTCCCATGATTTTGTGTGGGAATTACTGATGCCACTTGGTTGTCCAAATCAAAGTAGACAGTGAGGTATTCAAACCCGTAACTAATTATTTGAAATCTAAGTGTTTTAACCACCAAGTTATCAACGCAAGAGAAACATTATACCTCGATACGTTTAGTTAGTAATACTGGACTACCGTTACCATAAAATTCACACTATGACTATCGCTGCCTGCGTTGTTACTACTCTTTATAGCAAAACATTAGTACATGACTAAATACAAAACAAGCACTCCAACAAGCTAACCATATCCTGGTATTGCAAGCCTGACTTAAAGTTGCTTCTAATGTCTACAGAAAACGTTTTATTTGCTAAACCAATCACAAACTAGGTCGCAGAATTCGAGCATATTACATATAGAGACAGAATAATATGAAGTCTTTTTATTTTGTAAGGTCATGTTAACGGTTTACAATTTTGATCAGAAAGCATTGAATAATCAGTTTGATAAACGTAAACAAATGGGATGATGGTTTTCATTCAGTCTGTTGAAATATACTACCATTAGATGAATACTCTATAAGGACTAAAAGGAGATCGATTATCGAGAGCTCGAGTTTAGGCACCCGGGTGGTATCCCAGCCCTCACACAAATTGAATGATTTGGTGCCTCCTTGTACCAATGTTTATATTTAAATAAATAAAGAGTATTGAAAGCACAGGTTACGCAGTAATTGTAAAAATGTTCAAGGAATCTAAACAAATTTGGAGATATAGTAAAGTACGAAATACACTATCACGACAAGGATAAATTTTGTGTGGCAACAAATAAATGAGTGGATAAATTATCTAATGACTGATGTTAGAAACATCCAAATTAATATGACTGATAAACTGATAGCTACTCCCTACCAAATGTATAGGTTAGCTTTGAGTACTTTGATAACAATACCTCAGCAAAATGCTACAAAATCGCACTCCCTTGTTAATTATTTATTTAAAATGACTTCAAAACGTACACAATAAACCAGCCATTAAGTAACGATTGTACAATCTCATTATAAAAAATTTCGACACCTTTAAGTCACAGCTTTTTAAATGGTTATCAGAAATATGAATCTATTCCTACTGCCTACCTATTTTGTAGTTAATTGTTTAGGGAATTTGATCACCTTTAAATGTGAGTGACAAAACTCAAGTGCATTTGCACTGTATTATGGTTGACATGTTATTATTGTCGGATACTCATTTTCCTACACATATGTTTCAAGTTGTAAGTTTTGTCACGGAGCAGCTTTAAAACAAAAACAAGGTACTGTTTCATGCATTTTTATGATAAGATTTTCATCTATGATTTGTCTTTTTAATAATATCCACCAAAAAACAGAACTACAGAATATGAGTATGATGATGTCTCGCCTCTTAGACATCGGAATTTAACAAATGATTCAACAGAAGTACTCATTAACTGCCAGTAGTAAGTTGAGTGAACAACAAAAGCGTAGGTAAACAGATGGTGAAGAGAGGCATTCACAAACTAGTTGCCTATATGAAAGTAATTAAGTAGCTATCTCTATGCCACTGAAAGCACCAGAGACCAGTCCGACAGGCTACATTAGCTATGCAAATAACGTGTATTGTTTTTTACTTGGTTGGTTAATGAATGTCATGTATAAAAAACACCTGAAATTTTATTTGCTATACTACAATAAGAAAAAAATACAGTACAAGGAATACAAGATGAAAATTCAAGCAAATAAAATAAGATTTCTAGGAACGAAATTTAGAACAATAGAAAAAAACTGAAACATAAACATCTGTAGTGTGATGAGAACCAAATGAGAAGTACAAAGCCGCATATATTATTTAATAAATAGTCATATTTGTGGTTCAAACAGTTGATATCAAACTTGATTGAACTAACCCAAATAAAGGGGAATTGAAAACCGACGAGTGAGTATCTACCTCACAGTTAAATAACTTTACCAAATAATAAGTGGAATATTATTTACGGAGGATTATGTTTGATTGCCTATTTAAATTATTATAGGGTACAATTCCAAATAGGAGCATACACAATAAATTTAAAGAAAAATAATATGAAAAATACATTGCTTATCACTTACATTGTTGGTAGAGTCCATCGGCATATATATTTTAGCTTGTAGATTAACCTTAGGGCCATCGGGTTTTGGCAATTCCCTTTCTTTTATTGGACAGATACCGGATGTTGAAAACAATTCGCTCTGAACACGCAGTATTTCTTTTAAAAGAGATAAACTAGAATACAATTAGTACCTTCCCCCAAAAGTTTTTCAATATGAATGTATAAGCCAGGAGTGGCTAAGAGTTTCATCCGATCCAGAAATAGTTCTTTCAAGTAATCAAGTAACTGCTTCGTATTTTTTAATTCTGAGGCTTTGCCGGAGCACATTAGGATGCGAGGTAATTAGCTTATTGATTATTAGGTTAAAGAAGGGGTTAATTCATTCACAAAACATTTGAAAACTAGCAGTGGGTGAGCACGCTCGTGTTGGTGTTAGATTATTAGCAGATATTTAGAAGAGACATTTTAAACAGAAATGGGTAATCTGAAAGGTAAAAGACACAAAAACTGTAATAGACAGATGAAAACTCCATGATTTTTTATTGCCTAACTCTCAAGCATCATAGGTCTAGTATATCCCGATTAAACTAACTGCTATCCTCACCCATGTGAATTAGAAGTCACATTTAAAACAGGATGAACTGTGATATTTAACACAATGAACACAATAATGGACATATTTAAATCATTACGGTGTTAGAATAATGAGTTGTGAATCACAAGTGTAACCCATGATAATGAAGATAAACGACTATGATGATAGAATTACATTTAGTAAGGCTTTCAATTAGAACCCTTAATTTAGGAAATGAATTCCAGGAACTAAGAGAAATTGTGGATTCGATTAAGTCATAACAGTTGTCACAAATACGAGATATCTTTAAATTAAAAGATTCTAGGATAGTGCTGGGCTTTATTTAGTTTAAAACCTTTGAATGTGATCTCATACTTTTGGAACTTGTCGTACTCAAACACATTTCGTCCTAAACAGTTGATAACAACATACAGAAATAAATTAAGAGCTGAAGTTCGTCTATTGTTTTTATCACAGCATGTTTAATGAGGTCCACCTAAACCACTCAGAAGTTTGCCCAATGAGAGTTAATAACACACTGAACAATAAAATACTATTTTATATTTTGTTCAACCTCATCACAGATCTACTGCTGAAGATAACGTTCTCGTCGACTGAATTTCCAGGAATCGGTGTCCTACAAAGAGATCAGCTTATCGACTTCGAATATGCAGATGACATAGTTCTGTTTGGTGAAGACGCTGATAAAATGCAGTCATTTGGTAACACTGAGCAACAACAACAGGATTTTTGGGATGTGCTTCTCACCCCTCTAAATCCAAGTTGTTGCTTCAGGACTGGCCTGCGTCAACAACTGAACTAAGGATAGAGAGTGAAGTAGTCGGACACATCGACAACTTCACCACCTCGGAAGTCTCATCAACCCTATTGGGTTGGTGCTTGACGAAATCTCTGCACGGATTCAAAAACTCGTTTGGCTTTTGCCAACTTATCTCACCTATGGCGAAGGCGAGATACTCGTCTATCAATTAAGGGACGAGTATACAGTGCGGCAGTTTGTTCTGTTCTACTTTTTGGCTGCAAAACGTGGCCTTTAAAACTAGAAGATACTCGATCACAGATGCCTTAGAAATAGTGCTCGCATCTGGTGGGATCACCGGGTAAGTAATAGTGAGGTTAGACGCAGGGTATTAGGGAATGATGGTAAATCAGTTGATAAGGTTGTAAAACTTCATCGACTGTGTTGCGTATGCCTGAACACCAATTACCACGACGCGCAATGCTGACTAGTGTTGAAAACGAGTGGAAGAATGTTAGGGGCGGCCAAACAAAAACGTGGCATCAGTCCATAAAGTCACTAACCTCTGATATGAGCCATGTTGGTAGATGCAGACTACTTGGTTGAGGTCTGCGTGACTATCGTAACCAATGGTTGGAGACTTTGTGTGACATGGCTCAGAATCGATCACAATGACGTCGGTGTGTACCCTCCTTGTTTTCCCTTAAACCGCGAGATTAAAATCGCTTCATATCTTTCTTTCTACGAACTAATTCTCTCTTCCTGCATTATATCCTTATACACAATCTTTCTTTGATAATATAACTACTACTGAAGTAACTACGCCTATTAATCCGGTGTTCATCTTGTTGTAGTAATGATGTGTGGCAACTTGGACCAGTACGCATGTATGCCTGGTCTTACGTTGCAGCTGACTGACTGATTTTATATCCACGGCTCAATGGATTATGATTTAGATCCACGAATCATTTGTTGACAACGGATATCAAGCACTGAATCGATGATTAGTGTTATTAGTTGAGTCTTCCCACAAATGATTTGGTATCTCCATAAAGCTTCAAATGCTCTTTTTAATTGAGTTTACGGTCAATGAATCTCAGCTAACCACCTAGGCGAATGTGCTCTGTACCTGAACACCCCAAGGCATTCAACCTGTTGTTGGGGGAACAACTTTTGCTTTATGAGATGTATTAATGTCGTCCAGTTGACAGTAAACTCATTATTGATCGCGTTCGAGCTAGAGTGTGAAAACTTGAAAAACGTTTTTCCCACAAATCTGTTTTAACTGTAATTAAAGTCTCTACTCTAGTGTTACTCTAATAACACTGGAATGCAAATGACTTGTAATACTCTGCTTCAGAGGAGTGTGACATCAGTACCAGCTAGGAAGAAAATGATAAAAAGGGTCGTCAATAAGCTCACAAGCAGAAAAGAGGGCTTTTTGTGACTATTTAATGGAAATGCTCTCTACCTTAATTATACAATCACACTTAAGATATCACTCTCCGTATTTAAAATACAAAAATTTAATTAATCCAGTACGGTATTTCTTTAGGGACTATTGAGTATGAGATAAGGTACCGGATACATGACCCAAGTGACAATTGCAAAAGTAACGAAATAGTGAAGTTAGTATCGAATAAGATTTGATCAGTTAGTTGCAACAAATAGATCCACATCCGACCAATATGACTATATGAGTACCCAGATAAGTCGAACAATAGGTGATAGCACTGTGTAAAGCAAACAAATTCGTCCTTCGTCGTTCAGTAGAACTATATATAATGACAGTAGCAATTACTGACTTACGCCAGATTTTAGGTACAAAACTGACTTACTACGGCTTATCTAGGCGACTTGAGAATTTGGAAAATAATAAGGTAAACGTGGGTTGGCATAATATAAACTTGCAAAAATGGACACTAACTAAGCCAATAGAGTAGCTTACAACATTTTATTTACTGCGGTTGCACGCAGAGTAGCGTGCACTGGATAGTGCCCTGGCCCTCACACAAATTCAATGGTTTATGTGACGCATATATATTTGGTGCCTTCTTGTACTAACGTTTATGTGTTTAAGTAAATAAGTAAATAAGAGTAGCGTTAGAGGGCTGGGAAAGAGATAAACTAATAAGATAAGTCGACGACCTAGCAAGAGCACAGGGTGAACTTACACTTAACAAGTAAAGCAATCGACAATAATCTGTAATAACAAAAGCCTCAGACTCAAATGATCTTAAAACCCGGACTAAAACCAGACAATCCAACCCGCTACAACGGGAGCGCCAGAAATTACCGCTCATTTAGCGATTCAAATGGTTCAAATAGTTCAAATGGTTGTGGACGGAATTGAAGAAGCTTTCGCTTAACAGGCTTCCGTGTCTAGTAGCAGGGGATCACCAAATCCCCCAGGCAAGAACCTAGGTATGTTAACAATAAAAGAGGAAAAGATATTGGTAAATCATAGTGTGATGCTGTCCTTGGTCCTTAAGAATAGGTCAAGTTGCCTCTTGAAGGACTCCTGAGAAGTCGCTTGGACTAGCTCGGCCGGCAGCGAATTCCAGCTTTTGACAACTCTTAAGGAGTAGAAGTTGTGTCTACATTCCGTCTTGCTATGTTGTGTTTCCAGTTTCTGGGTGTTACCCCTTAGGTTATTATTCGAACTAAGCTTAAGTAGGTGTTTAAGAGGATGTCCAGAAGTGTTAAGAATACTATAAGCCATTAAAAAATCACCTCTAAGACGCCTATATTCTAGTGGGTAAAGGTCTAGTGAACGGAGGCGTTCTTCGTAAGGTTTAGATTTGAGTCCTCGAACTGATTTCGTGGCTCGCCGTTGGATACGCTCCAAAGTGACCTTGTCTTTTTGGAGTGATGGGGGGAGTACTGTGTTTCCGTACTCTAAATGGGGACGGATGAAACTATTGAAGATTGTACGGAAAGTTCTTCCGTCAAACTGGCCAAAAATGCGCCTCAACGTTACCAGTGCAAGGTTTGCTCGGAAGGCATTTTTGTCACAGTTAGCGTAAGACTTTAAGTCATGGGGCACCAGGACTCCTATTATTATTCGAACTAAGCTTAAGTAGGTGTTTAAGAGGATGTCCGTTATCGTCTGCCCAACTTTGAAGTCGAGTCAGATCCTCCTGAAGTGCCTGTATATCGTCTTGGTTGCGTATCTCTCTCCAAAGTTTCACGTCGTCGGCAAAAGGTAATACGTCTGACGTTACCTGTTGAGGAAGATCATTTATGTAGATCAAGAAGAGAAGAGGCCCTAGTACTGAACCCTGGTGGACCCCACTAGGACATTCCATAGCCTGAGATAAAGTGAAATTAACCCTAACCTTAAAGTGTCGATTTTTTAGGTATGAAGTAAGTCAATCGATTAGAGGTGGTTTGATACCTAGTCGTTTGAGCTTATTCGTAAGACACAAGTGGTTAACCTTATCAAAGGCTTTCGAGAAATCAAGGTAAATGATATCAACCTTTCCCTTGCGATCGAGAATGCTTGTCCATCTGTCAACCGCAGTCAGCAGGTTGGTTATACAAGAGTAACCCTTCCTGAAACCATGCTGTTGGGGCGAGAAGAAATTTAAGGACAGTAGATAGTCGTTTAAACCGTCGCATATCAGGGGCTCCATGAGTTTTGAAGGTAATGACAGAAGAGCCATCGGCCGATAACTTTTCATGTCCCATATGCAAAATTTCATATCTTTACAACCAGTCAGCATAGGTGCTTGCTTCTCGGTGCCAACAGTTCTAAGCACTAAAGACAGAAAACGAAGAGGTTTGTACAGGTCCTTAAAAAAGTGAAGAATTATTTAAGAGATCTTCACTAAAATGACATCTTAAGGTATTATATATACCAAATGTCCTGATGAGTAGTTATGAAAACAAACCGTTTCGCTTTTATTTCAGTTTTATTGGTTTCTAAAATTAATGGTAACTCTTCTGATTTTACTGAACACTAATCTAGACCAAGGAATTGTAGTAGTAAATAAATCCCCAAAATAAATAGCTCTACGTTTTCGACATTGGATGCTGATCATATATTTTAGTGGACTCATCTAGCTGAAGGCGCTCGGTCAGGCATCCACACCAGATCACGTGTGGTAACGCTATTCTCAACCTATTCCGCAATCGCTAGCCAGATTAGATCAGAGAATTCCGATATATTGGTAATCGCCAAATACACTCTTCCGATCTCCTCGACTCTGTCTTTTGATTTCTCATGGTGGTTACGCCATATATTAGGTGTTGCTGGTAAAAGCGTTATCAAACACTGAATACCTGTGACATCATCATTGGTGAGACCGACGTGATCTGGTACACCTAATTGCCATTGTGAGTCTGTTCCTTTTTGGGATTTTTATATATCATTGCCTTATTTTTTATTTTTTTAAACAGTGTGATTTTTTTTCGTGTTTTTTCTTGGATATATATATTTTCCCCTCGTTCATTATCGTACTTCATACTTCATCATGACTGAACAGACACCTAAAGTACTCAAGCTTAAGACTTTGTCCCCGCCTTCGTTTCAACTGATGCCTTTCTGGCCCGACAACATCGAAGTCTTGTTCTGCTACGCAGAAGCCGACTTCCACGAGCACGGCGTGATCGACACACGTGCACAATTCCTCGCAGTAGTCAAGGCACTACCGCGCGAATTCAACAGGTACGTAACACCTAGTATGTTTACTAGTGATGTTTCCGATCCTTACGAAATCTTAAAACGCTCGATTCTTAACCGAGGAGACCTAACCGATCGACAAAGGTTAGATCAACTCTTTAATAACATCGACCTGCAACACGGTTCTGCGACGGACATGTTGCAACGGATGAGAGAGGTGATAGGCCCAAGAACTTTCGACGGAGGTCTATTCAAACAACTCTTCTTGTCAAAACTTCCCCAACAGGTGCAAGCGGCTCTGGTCTCGTTTCAAAACAACGCCTTAGACGAACTAGCTGCATCTGCCGACCTCGTTTTAGAAATTACGAAACCTTCTACTACCGAGGTATTTTCAGTCAACGAAAAACCTCAAACGACTCAGAATTATATAACCGAGTTATGTCACATACTCACGCGTTATCTTAATCTTCGTACCGACCGTAAGAAATCGCGCACCCTACGTAGAAGCATGTCACGTAAGCGATCTGTTTCTAGACCACGAAAGACAGATAACCCCGACTGGTGCTGGTATCATAACCAGTATGGAAAGTTTTCCAGAAATTGCAGAAAACCCGGCAATTTTCCCAACACGAAACCGAGTGACTGGAAAAACAACTCGTGAAACTTCCAAGCCGGCACGCGTTAACGACATTCAACACATTTCCGAAGCAAACGATTTAGTTGCAGACGCCTTGTCTCGCGCAACTTCCCTGAACAGTTTCCAAAGAATCGACCTTCTTAAACTCGCCCAGCTTAAAAAAAGACAGTGATCTTCAGCACGAGTTATCGTCCACAACCGTCAAACTAGGCATCAAACAGATGGGGACAGGTAAGGAAACCTTACTTTGTGACACATCTACAGGTAGGGATCGCCCAATCATGCCGAAACATTGTCGACGCAAAGTCTTCAATATGTTGCACAAACTTTCTCATCCAGGTGTCCGTGCAACCATCAAGCTTATAGCAGAACGGTTTTGCTGACCTGGAATGAATAAAGACGTGAGGGAGTGGGCACGCTCCTGTGTAAGCTGCCAAAAATCTAAGGTCATCAGACACAATAAATCTCCCTTAGTCTCATTTAAAACTCCCGATGCTCGTTTCGACCATGTTCATCTGGATTTGGTGGGACCTTTACCAGATACAAATGGATACTCTTATCTCTTAACCTGCGTAGACCGTTTCACTCGATGGCCAGAAGCAGTACCTATCAAGGATATTGCTGCCGAAACAGTGGCCCGCACCTTCGTCGAACGATGGGTAGCAAACTTCGGCTGCCTTTCAACCATCACTACAGATCGCGGACGTCAGTTTGAATCTGAACTTTTCCGTCGTCTGACCACACTTTTAGGAATGACTCGCTTCCGAACGACCGCCTACCATCCACAAGCAAACGGGTTGGTAGAACGTTTTCATCGACAACTAAAAGCTTCACTATCAGCTGTAAACATTTCTCAGTGGACCGACGCTCTTCCACTCGACTTACTGGGTATCCGCAATGCAGTGAAAGCTGATATTAGGTACACTGCGGCTCAACTCGTTTATGGAACGACACTTCGGCTTCCAGGAGAACTCGTGGATCCTTCATCCTCTTCATTGAACATGAATCTAACCTCCTACACGAACAGGCTTATAAACGCAATGCGTTCAGTTAAACCTGTTTCCACTCGACCTCAATCAACTGATGTTTTCGTTCAACCTGACTTACGATATAGTACACACGTCTTCGTACCTCGAGACTCACATTGACGACCAATCGATTCAGCATACGAAGGACCCTTTAAAGTTCTTCATCGTGAATCTAAGTACTATATAGTCGATAAGAACGGAACAAACGATAGCATCAGCATCGATCGCTTAAAAGCAGCGTATTTAGAAGGAAATCCTATCTACGTCGACTTTCCTTCGTTACAATCGCACAACACGACTCCTACACTCATAATTCATCAACCGGCAACCAACACTAGCGATGATACTCCGACTCTATCTGAAAATATACCTAAAACGACGCGTTCTGGAAGAAGAGTAAGATTTCCAGAACATTTAAACGACTACTGCACGTAAGGCACTACTCGACATTTTATATTATCTCGATCTTTTTTTATGATATATAATATTTTTTAAAAACAATTTTAATATGCTTACATATTTTTATTTTTATTTTGAAAACAAACAAACAAAAAACATAAAAATTTTTTAAACTCTATTACGTGTGCTTGAGTTTATTTTCCTTTTTTCGCCGACATTGCGTTTTTATGCACATACGAGTGTATTTCGACATGCACTTACATTTTCTTCTTTCTTTTCCAGGACGGCTGGAAAAGAACGATGCAGTTTACAAGGAGCAGAAATTTTCATTGTACTTTTTCTTTTTTTACTATGTTGTAACTCGGTCACATATAAAAAGGACAGACGACCAGACGCTGCTAAACCTAGTAAGCTATCAGAAGAGTGTTTACCAACGACAAACTCGTTGGGTTTAAACTTCTGGCTAGACACGTCTTAGGGTCATCACTACCCCACTAGGGGGGGGGGCGAGTGATCTGTAGCGGTAAATAAATCCCCAAAATAAATAGCTCTACGTTTTCGACATTGGATGCTGACCATATGTTTTAGTGGACTCATCTAGCTGGAGGCACTCGGTCAGG